TATTATAATATGAGACCTATCATACATATTACATATAATATTTTACATTATATGATCAATAAAACTAAATTTTATATATAATATTTTTTACATAAAATGCATAGGCCCAGAATTAGGCTTGGCCCAGCCCGCACGCACCTAAGTTTATTTTCCAAGCCTACAACTCAGGCCAGGTTGGGCTTGAAACCAAACCATAGCCCTCATCGCAGGTTCAAAGCCCAATCCGACCTGACCCAAGACCACCCCTACACCTATAGCATTGCCAATTTGCAAATCAAGTGCATCGCACGGGTGACCCACTAGTTATAATTATAAATAATATTTTAATATCATCATTGTAAAATCTTTCTCTCCATGGGACATTTTGGGCCCCACAATTCACTATTTGAATTGATGTTGACATTTGCTGAACATTATAGCAAAAAATGGGTCAAGAAAATATAAATTTGTAGTTGCCAATTTAAACGAATCTTGATTGATTTGGTTTGGTGTGTCAAGTTTGCTATATAATTTTTTAGAAAATATGTCTTGAAAAAAAAAATTAGAAACACTATTAATTAACATGGTTTTAATAAAATATTAATTTCACTATTAATTAAATTTTGAATAAAATATTTTTGTTTTATTTTCAAAAAAAATATTATGTTAAAAATTTACTAAAATTTCTTTTTATAAATTATGTGAAAATTTCACTGCTAATTTTCCAAAATTATTGGCTGTGAACATGAATTGTCTCCTTTTTCTTATACTTCATTGCAACCAACACAAGTTTTCGAAGCATTGAGTGCTAGAGGATTAGGTTGTTTCTTTAATTTTACCACTTCCCTATGAAAAGAAAGCAGAAGAAGAAATGGACTAGGGGCCAAAAATCATTATGCATCAAGAAGTCGAAGCTCAATGGGTCGAGTTATTTGAATACCTAAAAATTGCCTGACCCGCTAGTTTAAGGGGAAATTAAAAATCAGCAATTTATATTACACAATTAACTTATTAATTAAAATAAATTAGAAGACTTAGTTTTATTAACTTACTATAAAATTAGTAAAATTAATTTGTAAAACATTAAAATTTAAATAATTAATAAAAATAAAAATCACTAATTAGACTTAGTAAAAATTATTTTATTAATTAAATTTTGTACAAATTAATAAGAACATAATTTAATTAACAATAAAATTATTTTTTGAATTATCGTAATAAAAAAAACTCTCCTTCCCCCTAATCCTTAGACTTTTTTTTTTAATTTACAAAGCTTGTGCATGGCTTTAAGAATAATAAAATTATTAATGTAATAAAAATGGTAAAAATTAAGATAAATAATAAAGACTAAGACAAATTTTTCTAACATGTAACCGAAAAATAGTTTGGGTTGGACTTAATATCACTTGGCCCAATTTCTCTTGTCACAATTTCTTTCAACAAAATTCGTTCATCGCATGAGGTATATATATATGGGTTGGTGGTTCAATTGTTCAGATTGATGGTTTTTTTATGAACTCAACAGTTTTTACCATTTTTTTGGATTTAGGGATTACCTGAATTGGATTTTCCTCCTAATGATGAATCAAATGGTTTGATTACCCGAGTCAATAAGTTAAAAACATTGGTCTGGGTCCCTTGTCATAACAATCCTAAACAAGACCAGGAAGTGGTTATACACGGTCTGAGTCAAATTGGATTTGTTTCTCATAGAGTGCTTCTCACACAAAGCTCAAAACACATTGCAGCCATATATTAGGAATATCTCTCTATAGAAGATAACATACAAATATGAAAGATGTTGCTGATGTACGGCTGCAGGTTGGTGTGAACAGATCTATTGCTGTGAGGTTGGTGTGAAGAGCAAATCTGGATTCATTTGGAAAGATGTGGAGACGTGGAACAGCATTTATCTGTCGAAATTAGATTCCCCGTTGAATGCACGCAAAAAATTGCATAAACCAGACCTTTTTACTTCCCACTTGTTATATATAAAAATCTTTTGCATTTTCACACTCAACTAAGGGACCGATTCATAATGGTCAGATTGGCATTTATTCACTGTGAGATAAAGCAACTTGAGCCATTGCACCAATAAGTTACAAGAAAGAAAGCATATCTAGGGATGTCAGTGGGTCGGGCTAAATTATAAACCCACACTGAACCAATCTATCAATTTTAATTGAGTTTTGTTTTATGATAACAATTTATATTTACATATGGTGTTTGTATAGTGTTTAAAGGTATGAATATACAGATATATAAGTTGATACGAACACAATCTATTTAATCTGAATTAATGCAATTAACTTGTTTATATTTAACAATAAATATATTTAAATTGTAAGATAATCATTCAATCATCTATTACCTAATCCTTAACTATCATAATAATATTTCAATCAAAATATATATATGCATATAATCTAATACTTGAAACTTTGGGTCATAAATAAGTCATTTTTGAATTAAGTGGGTCAACCCGAAATTGATACATTTATGAATCATGTTCGATGGGTTGATACAATTTTAACACAAACATGATTAAGGTAAATGAAAACCCATTAATTTCCTGCTATGTTTGAATCCTATTCATATCAAATACTACTAGCCCTAATTTTGTGGGTGAGTTCCAATTGAGGCCAACCAAACTTACATACATTGCAGCATTGAAATATTTGTATATATAGGCTTGGATGAGCACAAGTGTATTATACGTTGAATGGGCCGGGTCTGGTATCCCTTTTTCATTCACTGAGAGGAGTTGAATTAAATGTTTTTATTACTAATTTATGTAAAATTTGCTAAATTTCTGAGAATGAAATAATTCATCAGAATCAGGCAAAAAAAAAAAGGAAAACTACTCTCCAATCAATTACTTCCGGAATCAAATTGGAATGTCACCAATTCCAAATTGTGAGTACTTTCCCCTTGATTCAGAAAACATTCTTCTTTCACTCTGGCCCGGACCCACTATCACTGTCTTTTGTTGACCTTTTGTTGATGTAACGTGCGGAGCCTGTTTGAGAAATGAGAATGGTTCACGGTAGAACGACTGATATATTTTATTCCAATTGTGGAGCTTGGGAATCCCACCTCAAAAATGGGTAAACCTTGAGGGACAGACCAAGCTTATCTGGATTTGGGCCCAACTGGGTCTTATCTAGTTCATGTAGCATGGGCAGCAGTGCTAGAATGACAGTGAACAAGCATAAACAAGAAGAATTGCGCAGTCCAACAAAACAAGAACTATGTGAATAAGAGAATATGGACGATGCCCTATTAGATACTTACTTTGGAAATACAAAAGAAAGGTGATTAGGTTGGGAGTAGGGCATCTACCAATAAAAATGGGTCCGTTGGATTATTCCCAACACTTGGGCCCCAAACAACAGAGCCTGCTATTCAAGATTCCGTGATGCCCATGAAAAGATTCAGGAATGTGAGTCACCAGTATAGAGAATGATGAAACATGGCCCACTATTTATCTGCTTGGTTTATATTAGTTGCTTTTCATGTACCAAATTCACTGCAACTAAATCTCGAAAACCCTAACTTTTCAACTCCTTTAGCAAGTTGGAAATGGAAAAGGGAAAGATGTAACCTTTGATTCCACCCCCCAAGGCTAGGGTAATGAAGACATGGAATCAAAATGATTGTTGGGGGAGGGGGGACTATAGAAGTAGGGCCCAAAGAGCCCAGGCCGAAAGAGCCCAGGCCCAAATAAGGGTTTCTTTTAAAATCTTGGTTGAAAGAAACTATATGATACATGATGCAGTTACTTCTATTAAACAATGTAGTGGGAATCCTGTTTATGGAAAGAAGAAAAGAAATTTAATGAGTTGATACAAAGCCCATTCAACTAAAACCCTCTTTTCCTTACTTTTGGTGACATCCCACATGGTTGTTATTAAATGGAGGAGCCCATATTTAGTGTTCTCACTGCCCTTTTTAATAGAGCTACGGCAGTTGAATCTTTGACTAAACTTCAATAGCCATGTAAGGTTTTTAATTGTTGCTTGACAACATTTGTAAATGCCTGCTTTAGTGTTTACTAGTTAATGACCTAAATGAGTAAAGGGCAATTAATTCTATTAATTTCTTTGGGACCCATTGTTTACATGGTAAATTTATTGGTTGATTTTTTTTTTTTTTTACTGAAGAGGTCGAATCAGGTTTTAATTATAAGTAACAACCCTCTAGTATAATGAGGAGACCCACCTCAATTTAAGATATTAATAGCTTTTTTGGTCTGTCTTTGATTTGAGTTAGGTTGGAAATTATCAATTGTTATATAAATTCTCAGTTGTTTAAATATTTCAATCTTTAAATCAAATTAATGAGCAAATATTAGAAAAACTAAATAATGATTTTAGTCATTTAAAAGGTACAAGGAAAAAAATTCAAAAATCTCAATATCGTCTCCTTTTACTTTTGGGGAATCTATGAGACCGGAATAGTTTTGATCAATCAATGCACCCCTGTGAATTGTGATTAATACCACCTGATTGTTAACCTCTTTTATGATACCAGTTAATTTGTTGCAAGTTTTTTCAATATTGTGTCATTCTAGTGAATTCGGATTTGGTCATCTCTATACTTGTATGCTTTTTTCAAGAGGAAATATTCTCAATGCATGGCTGCAAGGGACTGAGGAAAATGTGAGAACAGTCTTGTGAGTACCAAATCTGATTTTTGAATCTACTACCAACAAATGCTTCCAACAAAATATTGCATCCACGCATAGGAACATCTCACCAGAAATTCATAGTACTTTGGAAGAATGTGTTTTGGTTTATTGCTAATGTGGGTCCTATATTATTTGAAGTGAATTCTTTTTAAGAGAATAGAAATAAGAAATAACCACCTCAGAGGCTTAGATGATCATTGGCAATGTGGTTCATTATTTTATAAAAAAATGAAAAAAAAAGAAGAAAGAGAATACTGGTTACCATGTGGTTCATTATTTTGAAAGTGGATGCCACCAGTCTAATACATAAATGATCACCAATCACCTAGTATTGATTAAAATTCACATGGACTTCTGATTGTTTAAAGTTTTTCAGGTATCATCATAAGAATTGCCACTACAACACTGAACACTGACTGAACAAGGCTTGGCCCATTTTGTCAGAAACCCTAGTATACACATATATATATATATATATATATATATATATTATATTATATAAACACTAGAAGCAATCAAACTAATATTATATATAATCAACCCTACAGTTTCTTCCTTTCTCTTTCTTTATCAAATGCCAACAAATACATTAAAATCAAGTATGGGCTGAGAAGTATGCCAAGAGGCCCACCAATGGCGCGTTAATGTACGTCGTGGGCTCCGACTCCTGGAAGAATGGCCTTGAGTCCGGAAAAGCGTCCGAGCTGTTTGGCCCACCGACGACGGCTCCAACCAGCACGTTAGGATTAGGGTTTGGGCTCAGGAAGTAGCGCGAACCCGCCTTGCACCCAATGCGGGCGGGATGGGCCCTAACCGACGGAAGCGAGCTGGCCCGATGATGTATGCGTTGTGGATAACGTGGGCCGTATCCTACCATGTACGACATCCTCAACGGATTATCCCCGAGAATGTAGTCTACCTGTTGGGCCCATAAGTGACAAAAAAAGAATCTCCAAATCAGAAAAGGAAAAACTCAAAAAGTGTAGTTATTAAAGTAATCTTTTGGCAATAAAATCCCCTAACCTGCGGCCTAACTACAAAAGTACCACTGACTGACTACTCATCATCAATCAGGGCCGTATAATAACTCTTGGGCCCACCTTTCCGACGCATGAACAGTACTCGTATTTATACAACCGTCTACCACCCAATCCAACCGTTAAATGCTGAATGGAGGGTGGTGGGGCCACGTTTTTTAAGCTCACCTGTCTTTTGGCTAAATTTCTGAGATGATCAGCGGTAGCGGAGGGCCCGCCACATGGCACCGCTTTATTGGCGTGGCTCAGGTAGTTAGAGTAAGCCAGAAGTAGAAAGGACAGCGACGTTACGTGCTGCATGTTACTCCCCCCGGCTTTGAATATCAACCCACCTGTTTTTCCATTAAAATGGAATGATAAATATTCTAATTAAATTTTAAAGAAACAAAAAAGATTTAAAAAAAATCCAAAAAAGAAGGAATATTAAAAGGGAGGCTCGCATGAAGGCCACTTTTCACTGGTAGTTGGGCGTCAGATGGGAATGGCGATGTAACAACAAAGCAAGGTGGGTTTAGAGTTGTAAAACAGATTCCAATCTGACGTCAGAAAAGTTACCTGGAGAATATTGAATTTGAGGATGAGATACTCCAGGCAAAAGAGAACATATGAAGCGGTCCGCGTTTAGTTGGAATGATTTTAGATAATCAGCCTTCCCCATCAACACCTCCTGTAAAGTGTGAAGCAGAGAGATGTAATCAAGAAATGGAGATTCATCTAGTACAACCATTAATAGTATACTACGTTAGTACGGGATCCTACACCGTTGGATTAGGAGATCAATGGCTGTGCCCTCGGAGAAAGAGTCAGAAGGAGCACAATAGTCAACTTTCCCGAAAAAGCTTAAAAGAAACCATGGCATGAAGGTGGGATTTGGAAAACTGGGAACTGGCCCTTCCGCACATGCAGGCTTCAGTAAGGGGAGTTAGCTCTGGTAGTAGTCGTGGGTCCCACCGCTTTATGTGACCCCCCTAAGTCGAATAATCTGATCCAATCACGTGAGACTAATCACTAGATTCCACGACTTTTTTCCTCAATTGATCTGCACCGTCAGATCATCTGACCCCCCTCCTATGTAATATAGGCGCTGGCCTACGTAAACCTATACAAGGAAGGCAACGGTTCCCTAGTTTCCAAACAGAACAACAAGACAGGACAAGAATGAAAGAAGAGACAAACAGAAAATGGGAATTATTTTATTTAATCCCAGGATTAATTATTAATTGGAGTATTGGATATGATTACCTTGGAAATTAGGACGTTAATTCCAGCGTGCTTATTATCCCAACCGAACTCATTAATGGTGTCTCCGGCTCCTAACACCTCCTCGTTCCTCAATATGTACTCTCTGTATTCGCGCTTCCTTGATGCCTTGTGCAGCCACGCCGCTCCCCAAAGCAACTCATCCTATTATAATGCAATACAATCAGATCCAATGGATGGACGAGTAGACTTCTTGGACAATCCAACGGCCTGTTTTTCTCACCTGATACCCGTTCACGTCGCAGTAGAACGGGCAAACGGCAGATCTCAGGCTGTTACTGTACGCTCCTCGGTATTTGTCAGCGAACTCGAACACCTTCAACACAGCAAGCAAGCTCCGTTCAGGTTAGACCAAGCAATGAAGCAGAGTAACTGAAATTCTCGCGAGATTTTAGAGAGTAGAGAGAGATTCAGTGTGACAATGACGTACTTTAACGGCTCTATCGAGGAGGAGACTGGAGTACGCAGGGTCACATGATCGGAACACAATGGAAGCGGCTGCTAAAGCTGCCGCAGTCTCGCCAGCCACGTCAGAGCCAGGGTGGGCCCGATCGACCTTGTAAACCGTGCGGAGCGTGTCCATGTCCTCCGGCCGTTCCCAGCAGTTGTGATCAGAGAAGGCGTCGCCGACCTGCACGAAAACGGTGTCCGGCACGGACGTTGCTTTCAGGAGGTAATCCGTCGCCCACTTCACGGCCTTAATGGCGTTATTCAGCTCCGATCCCATATTCTTCCCGAAATCGATAATGCTCCAAGACAACAACGTCGTCGTGAACGCCATTGGGAAGCCGAACTTCACGTTGTCTCCAGCGTCGTAGTAACCTCCAGTCAAGTCCACCTGCATTGCAGCAAAAAGCGCCATTAGTTAGTTTTACTGCAAAAAGGGAGAAAGACAGGTGGATACGAGTTCTAGAGTGGGAACGTACACCAGCGGAGGCGCCATCTTTCAATGCAGAATCATGGCGCCACTTGAGTCGCTGATCTGGAGGGAGCTTTCCTGAGCGTTGGCCTTCGAAGAAGAGAATGCTCTTCCGTAGTGCATCGTGGTAATCATGGCTGGAGGCGGAGGCAGGACGTTGCAACCCCAGTAAGAGGAGGAAGAAGAGATGAAGCGCCGGAGAACTCGCCAGGAAACATCCGGATGGACGGCGGGTTCTTGGCGCCATTTCCTGCTGAACAAGGCAAGGAAATGAGGAAAGCGAATACAAGCTGCAGAGAAATCCGTCGTGGAAGTGTGGAACGGTGGAGGTGGTTGTTCGCCTTCTTTACTTCTTATATAAGAGAGTCCTTGGATTCTCTCCAGTCAGCCAATGGGGGATTTCCACGTGGATTCGTACGGATGGCTTTTGGACTCGAACACCGATGCAAAACGTGCTTGACCGGCTTAAGCAAACGGTCTGAGACTGGTGGCGGTTCAGAAGGGGTCCAACCGGATTGGGTCCATGTGACCGTTGGGAACAGGGATTGGGTTCAGTTGGGAGTTCTGGTTTTGACAGTAGGTAAGGTACTTTACGTAGAGTGTAGACTCACAGTCATGGTCACACTTGGTCAGGAGTCAATGAGAGATATACGCCTTCGCCGCTGCCAGATATGTAACGACCGTTATAAACGGCGGTGACCGTTATATTCACATCTTGACCGTCGTTAGAAAAGAAAGTAACGGTCGTTATGGTAAACGACAGTTGGCATGTAGGCAGGGGGAATGACCGTTAAACAACTTAGGACTGGGCTTCTGCGGTCAGACTAGTAGAATAGGGGACCTTGGGTCTGCTTCACTGCGGTCTGCCACATCCTCGACTTGCGGACTTGGAAATAGAGACCCTAGTGAGTAGTGAGACTCAATTGCCTACAGTTCTACACTTATACCCACAACAAATTAGACGTGGATCCCATGAATTAGCCTCACGTGGCGTATTGTTATTGGTTTAGTATCGTCCCAACTGATTTTTTTCGGTTGCGGAAGTTATTGGTAGAAAAGGAAAAGACTTGAAATGGGTATTGGGGAAGAGGCAAGAAGCCCGTGGAAATGCAGAAGAAAGGGGAAATGAAAATCATTAATGGAAAAGGAAATACACAGGCAAGAGAATTATTGGACCCGAGGTTGGGCATTAGCTACCAGCTTTCAGCTATCAGTTATCACGTTATTTTGAGTAACGAAAAACAACTTTTTGTTAAGAAAAAAGGAGAAATGAGATCAAACTATGGTATGGGAAGCATTTAATACAGAAAAAAAAAAAGCATTAAAAATCATCTGTTGCTTTAAATTTGATGCGACTTTTCCTAGTATACATCCTTAATAAATAAGCTAAGAAAATTAGCAGTAGAACCAAGCCCAACTCTTCTAAGTTAGACTGCTTAGCTGAAGGTCCGGCCCAAAACCACATACCACACTTTTGAGATAAAACCTGATACAACCTAGGCCGCAATCTGGAGTCTGGACTGGATCAATGGTTTTCTATGTAGAAGTCCATCAAATAATACCCCCCCTCCCCCACCCCAATTTGGCCCTTTGTCTAGCAAAATAGAAAAGGCCCATTTGTCCAGCAAAAATGGAAGGAGGTCCATATATATTACAAACATTTAGGACTTAGGAGGGCTTCATTTGGATTAAGAGCCCATTGGGTAGGGGTTTCGACTTGATTGAGCTGCTTTCTACCAAAATTAGATTCATCAGAAAGGCAATTTATTAACTGAATTGAAATGTATTCCATCTTTCCGAGTTTTACACCAAACATAACTTCTAAGCATTTTGTATGGGTCAATCTTGAAAGCCAGAAGCCGCTGCGTGGAAAGCCCTCCGAAACGGGCACTAAAAGGGCTATGATTGGGAGCAACGAGCCCAGTTCAAGGCCTGAAAAATGTAAGACTGGATTGTTGGAGCCTCAGAACGAACGATTTGTCAATTTGTCTGAACATAAACTAGACAAAAACATCATGTCTCGCTTAAAATCAGAACCAAATCAACTTAGGGATGTCAATGGGTCGGGTTCGGCACGGATTTGTCTTAATCTTAAACTGACCCTCCAGCACTTTAACACGAACCCAAATTGATTCGGCTTAAAAATACATGATTCCCAAACCCGACATGACCCCATAGGTTTAACCCGATTTGACTCGTATAATTTTAAATGTTTTTTAACATATTTTGAAGACCTAAAATATATTAATTTAAATAAGAAAATTGTTTTATAGACTGTAAGGTATTATTTTTTCCATTTAAAAAAGAACAAAATCAAAATCAACATATAAATAAATTATAAACTTTAAACCTATAAAGTTAGAAGTCGAAAATTTACAAAAATACTTAGTATATATGCAAGGTATCATGACCCAGTGGAAGGGTCAGCCAAAACCCAAACCCAACTCGAACCAAAGAATTAAAACCCAAATCTCATCTTAAACCAAATATATTTGACCCTAACCCGACAAGCTGGATTTAACATTTAACTCGATCCATTGACATCCCTAAACTTAATAATGTGATGTAAGGGTGCTTATATAACAGCGACATTTCATCAAACAGTAACGAGGTCGTTTCGAGCAATTTATTTGGTAGAACTCTCCTTGCTTTGCAGCATCTCGCAGTTTAAAGTAAGCTTTACGTCATTTTGGAAGCATAGCAAAAGTAGCAAACAATTGGTCCAGCCCCATATAAATTTGGAAGCTCCCCCACCCAATAACCACGCCGACGGGAGCATTAACAATTTGAACCAACCCCCCTTCTTCGATTCACGAGAAAGTACATCGTGGCCAATCGAAAGTGCACATTGACAGATGACCCTCCAGGGCCGACTGATTTGTTGCAAGTAAAATCTTTGTATACACTGCGAAAGTATGGGAATCCAATAATAAATTGAGAACATCTTTCCAAGAGCTTAACATGTATCTACAGGAGATATTTAGGAGATATTTCTGACGAGAAAGTATAGTTGAATGCTATGTAAGCAGAGTTTTTATTTTCAGGGATCCGGGTTTATCTCAGGGTAGTGGTGCAACTTAGGCAAGTTTGGGTTGGGGTTATGTCAAAATTTGAATGAGTCCAACCAAAGACTCTAAGGCTGCATTTGGTTGCAGTGCAATTTAATTTGCATTAGTACAAATTCATGAGAGTGCAAATAAAAAAAAAAAATACAAAGCGTGTGTTTTGTTTCGTGATAGTCATTTATTAAAACACTGTCATGTCATCAGCAAATCAGCATTTTCCCATCATATTTATTTGTACGTATGCGTATTGATATTTACAAAAGTGGGTTTCGATTTATATGCACACCAACCATTGGGGGAAGCTTCATTTTAACGCTTCTCCCAATGGTTGAGCGTTTATTCACTATTCCGCTGATGTGGTGCCTAATGGCGCCTAATTGTCCATAAACAGTTTATCAAATACTTTTCTTAATTTTGAAGACAAATGAAGTACAAACATTAATTTAAAAAATGGAAGGTATACTAAATAATCAAATACTTTTTGTCTTAATTTACTTTATTTATATTGCAATCACACAAAATAAGTTCAAATTTAAAACAAAAATAGATTAGAATTTACACTCAAATCATTTGCACTGCCATAGTTTTGCATCAGTACAAATTTATTCGCATTGCAACCAAAACACAGCCTAAAGGTCAAATGCTGTGTAAAATCTTAAAATTGGGTATATAACTTGCACCCCCCCCACCCCCACCACACACACACGCACACATTAGGGTCCATATCGCCACGGCCATTAGGCCCATTAGCTAACATGAGAGTGGTAGAGTTCTATTAGTCTAGTTTGTGTCTGGATTCTAGAGGGCTTTTAATCAATAAATTAATTGAAATAAGCTACTAAATACTTCATCTCTGATAATTTGGTTTGATAAGTTTAACCTCTGATAAGCCCAAAAAACTTGTATTAATAATTGGACTAAACTTGTCTTGGCCCAAATTGTCAAGGGATAATTCTCAATAACATGTCCAAGTAAGACATGTGTTGGGCTTCCTCATTCTGTGCTAAGGAGAAAGAGAGAACCCTCACCTGCAACAGGAGGATTTATAAGTTGGTCAATGGAGTTGTAGTTACCATTGATCAATTTACCTATGTTTTTATTTCAGAAATATGTGGGAGCCATAGTAAAATTGATACCCTTCACAGACTTGGGTAAATTGAATTTCCCAAGTAGAGAGTAAATGAAAAAATGGTCAAAAATGCCCCCACAAGATACATTTACCCACATAAATTAAACAAAAAAGAAGCATGGATAAGTACACTTACCTAAGAAAAAAATGAACAAGACCTAAGAGAAAACAGAAAATTGAGGGGAAATTCTTCACATATTTTGTAAAATACGTAACTCCATTTTTTTTCCATGTACAATTTCAATTGCATTGGTATAAATGCATAGGAGTGTAGTGATGTGATCCCTACTTTATATGAAAGAAGAGGAAGGTTATTCATTTAGGAGGGGTATGATAGAAAGAAAAATGATGTTGTCCCTAATTTAATGAGATAGAATGTAGGTAAGAAGAAGGTGTGCAAAATATTGCATAGGTTTTTCAGAGACAAAATTAGAACTGCCACTAAGTGCAAATGAGATAAAAAAAAAGTGCAAATGTTTACATCAGGTTAGGGTGCAAATCATAGTTACAAATAAATGCATGCATAGTTGAATTAGATGCAAATTTTGAATCTGGTTCAGATTTGCATTACAAACAAACAGAACGTTAACTTTTCCTCTAACTTTTTGTTTCTCTCTTATTGTCAATCAAACCAAAAAGGATGAATTTGAAGAGAATGGGGTACTTCAAAGTTCTGTTTATATTCGTAATGGGATAATGGGCTGGTCCATTGTCCGATCAACCAAGCATAATGCATTGCACGATTGGATCCTATTGTGACTTGCAGGAGGGCCTGGAAAGGAACCAAACAAAATGGGCCCACTGTAACTGGGCTCGGCCAGTTACAGCCTTATCCAATTGGCAATTGCATAGAAACGGGTGGCAAATTTACCATCCTTGCCACCATCAACATATTATTCATCTTTGCAAGTTTGTTTCAATGTTTTTCATATTTTACCCTCGTTATCACACCACATTGTACTTCTTTACAACTGTTGCATGAGAACAAACTGGGCATCAACAAAAGCAGAAGCAACTTTGCATGACGACAGAGGCATCCCAACAAACTCAAAAACACCCCTTAACTAGAAAGCATAAACTATTCTTGGTATAACCATGTCCACAGTGCTCTTGTCATTGTCTAAGTT